TATTATTATTATTGTTATTGTTATTGTTATTGTTATTGTTATTGTTATTGTTTTTTAAAAAAATTGAGAATGTCTGCTCCAGATCACTGATAGGCAGGATGATAAACTGATTCAGTCCTGAAAAACAGTGGTGCTATAGTTGAACAGATTATCTATTCAATTTATAATGGATGGGATCACAGTCTTCCTCGCAGATCAGACAGGGAAAAAAAATACTTTTTTGTGGGTGGGGGGAACACTCTGAGACCTAGAACAGTATTATGAAATTTCAGTCCCAAAATGTAACTTCTCTCACCTCTATCAAGGTTTGTGGCCCGAGGCTTATAGCAGACCCCGTGCTCCTGCTGCTATGGCAGGCTGCCACCAATTCCCTCCCAAGGGATGCTCAAATGACCTCCTCAACTGCAATGTGCTAAAACTTTGTAAATTTTTAACCAATGCATTTTATTAGTCATGCTGCTGTTTGACTGATATTTTATTGCTGCAGCTCTCTAAGTGTTTCTTAATGTAGATTATATTTCACATATCTTTGGTTTCTGCCCTGTATTTTTTAAAATCAAAAATATAGTATTTTTTAATTTTTATTTTTAGGCTTTAATTTTATTTGTTGCCTTGGTGGGACCTGGTTCAGAGACGTGGCTTTTATTATATAAAGAAAAACGTGGTGTCTCTATCTCAGTACCTTCTCATTAGCTCTGCTCCTGACCAGAAAACAACAACATGTAGTCATAGTTATTCATAGCACAGGCACATCTATCCTATATAGTTTTGGAACATCTGAAATTGGAACAAAATTATGCAGTAGTTAACTGGATTGTTTCCTGTGAATACATCATAGTAGCATTTAAAGATCTTTACTAGCTGAATGTTCATTTCTGGGTGGAATTCAGTGTGACAGTCCTAGCTTTGAAAGCTTTAGTGGCATCAACCCAGAGTATCTGAAGAGCAGAAACCTCTTCCACACATATCTGCTTTTTCACTGAATCACAGAACTGTAGAGATGGAAGAAATTTCAAGGATCATCTAGTCCAAAACACAATTCAAATATGTCAGGTAGAGTCATCCTGGTGACTGAAATTTTTGGAAATTAAATACTCCCCTTGCCCCATGGCTCCCAATGGATTTCTCACAATTAAATGGATTCCACAAGAGCCTTAGGACCATGGCCAAAGGAATCAACATTTATTTTATTTCTGAAAAAAACTGTCATGACTATAGCTGCAAACAGGATTTCAGCCACTGATGGCCAAAATCCTATTGTGTAGCTATACCAGCTGAAGGAAAATGGCAGAATTTCCAGCTGCAGATTACCTCAAGCTAAAAATTCCCTCATTTGGATCCTTCACTAAGTGCCAGCTGGGTAACAACCAGGAACCCAAGCAGCACCCTCTGAATTAGCAGCAATTTGCTGGTGCTAGTTACAAAACCTTCTTTTCACCAACTTAATTACACAACAGGATTGTGGCTGATTACTTTTAATCTACTTTTTCAGTCTTTTTACACAGTTACACAACAGGATTGTGGCTGATTACTTTTAATCTACTTTTTCAGTCTTTTTACACAGTTACACAACAGGATTGTGACTGATGAGCTTCGGAATATTGGCTCTCTATTCTTTTAAAATATATATTCCAAAATATTTTTACAACCAAACAAAATCCCTTCCCAGCACCAATGCCTGTTCAACCAGGAATGAGTTGCAAATTCTCTTCCTGGCTCCATATTGAAAGGGTCAAAAATTCAGATTGGTCTGGAGCTGATTTCTCCTTGGAGAATTCTATCAGGAGCCTAGTTTCAGGAATCCTGAGAGAATATTTACTGAAAGCACTCAGGGCTGGAAGAAATACAATTAGTCTGTGCTTTTGTAATGCAGAATATGCCCCACAAAATTGTATCCCAATCCCCTGGAACTACATAGCAAAATGTCCCTTTCTGGAAGACTATCACTCCATTATTCTCTTTAAAGCAAGTTTTTTTAAAAAATCTTTAAAGATTTTCTGTGACTTTTCATTGCCCTCCAAATATCTCCCTTTCTGGGTCATGAAGCTGCAACAATGTGTCTACTTTGGAAGGCTCTGGCTGATAAGCCTGTTCTACACATGCTCAGTTTATAACAAAATAACGTTTTTTAAAAAGGCCTCTTTTTTTGAAAAGAATATTTCAGCCCCTGCAGCCTGGATTCCTTCTAAATTTAATGTAGAAATATTTACAAAGTGTATGCTAATTCTATGGAGATATGTGGCAAAACATCCCTTTTTGGAGAATGGTCACTCCTGGTTTGTTTGCTTGTTTTTGACTCTTCGAAGAAAACTATTTCTGTGAACTTTCAATGCCTTCCAAACATCTCCCTTCATGGGCCAAGAAGATGCAACAATGCATCTACTTTGCAATGGTCTTGCTGGCAAGCCTACTCTATGCATGCTCAGTTTTTAAACAAAGTAACTGCTTTACTCTTTTGATTTTTGAAGGTCAATATTGAAGCCCTACCGACTGATTTCCTTTGAAATTTTAAAAAAAAAAGTTGGGGCCAACCATTCTCTTTCAAGATAATCAAGACTGGTCTTTTCAATTTATTTATCTGTTTTAAAGCTGGGGACTTTTAATAATTTTACTTTTTAAAAAATCTTAACTCACAAACCCTTTGCCCAAACTTCCCCAAATTTGGTACTGATTCAAAATCCAGTTCCGAAGTTCTAATTTTTGGTTTGGGCTGCCCTCATTTTTAGAATTGCCTTGTAGAATATTCACTTGTTTTGCTACATAATACCATCAGTGCACTCTCGTGAAGTGATAATATACTGGACAGAATTACAACTACCTCTGCTTGCATACTGGCAAAACTGTCGAATTGCATACACATAACTTTTTATGGAGAGAAGAGATGGAAATGCTATCTGCTTTAAACTTCATGCATCACATAACACTGTGAAGTACAGAAACAAGGAATGAAATAATATGCATTTATGTCATTTGTGGCTTACAAATTGAGACAATATTGGCAGGCTTCCAGATCATACTGAAGGCAATATTTGATCATAGAAGTTGTTTTCTCAAGCTTTGCTACAGCGAGGAAAAGGTATCAACACAGAAGTCCAAAGAATATCAGCAGACTAGAAGTATCCTTAGAGCAGGAAGCCAAAGATATATGTAACTAGCATATGGGTGATTATTATAATTACTTTAAACTTACAATGCAAAAAACAGTTCTTCAAAAATGTGGCTTCTAAGTTCAATTCAATTCCTAGAAAACTATCAGCAGTTAGGCATTAATCAGAGTTACATACCTGTTTCCATGGCACACACAGATAATGGATTAAGTGGAATGAATGTACACAAGTAAACCATGTGCCTATCGAGCCCACTCATCTGATACATTCTTCAATTTACTTTGCCAGATTTCCAAGCTTCTGACTCTTACAGATCACTGGTTTCTTATAAATACAAAACTTTGCCTTATTCTCAGTTTTAACTCCACACTTGAATTCTAGTTTTTCTTCAAGTCTTCTTTTCTGGCAATGGTTGATGGGCCAAAGCCTCTAAAAAGCACCCCATCAGAAAAGGCTGATAAAACCAATCAAGCAAACTACTGAAGGCCAAAACTTAGACAAGTTACTTTTTTAGACTGCAACTTCCAGACCACCCTCGGTCACTATGTTCACTGGCTCTGATAAATGTCCTGCTGAGAGGCTGTGCATCCTCAATGAGACTTTTTTCTTCAAACAGTGAACTGAAACCATATCATCACTATTCCATAAGCAAACTTTCAAATGCCCTTCCTCTTCAAAAGCTGTTTAATATGGAGCATGGTGGGGGTCACTATTCCAAAAACTTGCTAAAGATGCTCTGGGCCATTTGATAATTATATCCTCCTCAAAACAAAGGCAGAAACAAAACAAGCATGACAGACACAGCTCTCCCCCTAATTTTCCTTTACATTTGCCCTGCAAGTCAG